TAACAATGCAGATGGAGCATTGATGCACTATAAGTGGATATGCATATCTACTAGCTGGAGGAGCTATCAGTTGGGCTTTGTGGAAACAACAACTCATCACACTCTTGACTGCAGAAGCAGAGTATGTTGCAGCAACACATGCTGCCAAAGAGGGCTTATGGCTTTGATGACTCATCAGCAAAGTTTTCTGCCCACTCAAACACCCTATGCACTCACCAAAGATGGCAGCTATCATGCTTGCACAAAGCACATCAATATACAATACCATTTTATTCATTTTGCTGTGGAAAATCATTCTTTTCATCTTATCTATTGTCCTATGGACAACATGGTTGCTGATACCCTTACAAAACCTTTACCTAGCATCAAGGTGAAACATTTCACATCTGCACTTGGACTGTGTTCCAATTGAGGGGGAGTGTTGAGTATGCATTCTGGAGTTACAGTAATGTCTCAGAGTTTCACCCAGAGCACTCAGGGATTCTCTCTGACCTTTGGAATTAAATTCTGACATCAACCTGCTTACTAATTATGGTACTATAAATTTTCCACACTGTTGTTTTCCACCTCAGTGATTAATTCATACACTGAGGTGAGTATAGCTACATTTCCACTTGTTTACTTGGTACTGACATAGTGTAGAACTCATACCTTTGTTAATATTTTGCATTTGCTTGTGCAGGGTGTCAAGAACACAAAGAAACACAATATACTGTGAGCATGATTAACCTCATCATCTGATGTCTTTTGGTATAGATGATGGGGGCTTACATTGAGTGACCACCAAGTTAATCCAACCTGCATCCATCCATTCATTGGTACATCTTGCTTCTTTCATTGTCTATGAGAGTCTTCACTCATATCTTCATCAATCATGAGATGATCTGAGCAAAAGTCTGTATCAAGCAAGGTGTCCACACTGTTGACATCATATCTCTTTGCAAACTCCCTTGTAGCTTCTCATCAACAGTTTGCCATCTGAACATAGGTCGGTTCCATTCAGTGTGTGTAATTCAGTCCTGCTACCTGTGCCTGCCTAGCATGATGACACTTCTCCCTGTTGTGATCCTGGCTCTTCACCTGCTTCACAGGATTGGCAGCCACACATACTTCAGCTGCCAAAGTCCTCCAATACTATTTGGCCATAGTCATGATAGTGGAAGGGACATGGTCCTCATCTTCCAGCTCACCTTTACTCTGTAAACCTCTTGCCTGTACACCAAAAATTAGCAAGTTTACACTGTGCTATATCTTATTGGCTGAACTGACTGTTTCATCTGCCATAATGGCATTGACAATGGCATGGAGGAAACTTATGTTGACAGTACTGTCAACTTGCTCTGACCAAGCTGGCCTCACCCAACCATTGATCTCCTCCATTGGGTATTTGTTGGGAAGTCCCTTTATATGTTGAGCCATGATGGACAGATGCTCCTTGGTACTTAATCTATCTACTGTGCACAGTTCTAACACCTTGTTGTGCAGTATGGTCTGGACACCAAAATATCACATTCAAGCATTCTTGATGCAATGTGATGAGCCTCAAACTTACCTTTAATTTAGGATGCTGATTAGAGATATTTTTGGTTACTGTTGGTGATTTTGTTTGCTTGCTGGAGAGCAATGAAAGCTCCTCTCAGAGCTCAGAAATTGCAGTTTCAGTGGCTTCAATTTGGTGAGCTAACTCTCATTATGTGTCCATGTTTGCAATGCACAGTTCTGACAAATTTGTGTTTATCTTTTTGAGTTCTTCAACAAGAAAGGGCAGTGGGATCATGCCAGATGAGGGCTGAAGATTTGTTTGAGATCATGTATCATGAGGCACATGTGCATTGCAGAATGCAGGGGAACCTTGGTCAGAATGGTGAGTCATGTAACCTAGCAAATAGTCATTTGATGGTCCCATAGAGTATTGTAAACTCAATGCTGGTCCTCCTATGGAATATTGTAAGCTCAAGGGCAATTCATTATATGAAGCTGTGGTCCCACTGTGCATGGCATTCAGTGTTGGAGGAGGGCTGCCATGGTCATGTCTGCATAGGTGTATGGTATGTATGAGTGTACCCAAAGGTTTCTTCTAGTTGCCATAGGTCTGCAAATGAAGACCAAGATGTTGTGAGCTCTGCAAACAATGGTCATCAACCAGCACCATCACATCTTCCAATTCCCTGAGACTATCAATATTAATGTGATGTGAGTATCTGTTCTCTAGCCATCACACACTTATCATATGTGCACCAGGGGTTCATTTAACATCTGATTAAAGTTGAAATCACTGCTGAACATGTCACTGTGTGAACTTGGGGTTTCCTCCTCTAAACCTGCAGTCATTTGTCCAAAAGACATGCTTGCACCTATGCTAGGATGATGGTCAATGTTCCTATGGTCAGAGGGTGTCTGAAAGCGACTGTCTGAAGCTGAAAACAATGATGGTGCATTCAAACCACCCCCTGAACCCACAGACATTCAACAGTCCTGATCCATGACCCTGCTCATGTTATATGATCAATTGGGTGGACCACATTCAGACAATGCTGGGAACATCACTGCCAGGAGGTTGTGGGGTGCAGGAAGGTGGGGGTGATGCAGGGGAGTGAGAGGTATATGTGGTTTTTTGGCAGCAGGGTGGTTCCCAGAGAGGTTTGCATGTAGCTTTCCTGAAGGAACCCATATATTGTTCATACAGAAAGATGATCTATTCATATTGTGTATGGACATGGGACACTTGCTATGACCATCTGCATGTACCTGAGGACATCTCAACTACCATCTGCACATATCTCTGGACATATAGGCAGCACTTGTCCTGAATGCAGACATAGCAGCTGTCCAGACCAGGGGCAGGGTATCCAGGCTCAGGCTTTATGTACCATTTCATGACATTGGTGAATCACCTGTCAAAGTACAAGCTATCTACAGTTTAGTCATCTGCCCACACCATATCCAGTACCAGACAAAATCTCATTTCCACAGTGAATGGTAATACATACAATAGTATAATCTAGATCCCTGATCCCACAACTAATGGTTTCAAAACCATTCTGCTATTGCCTACATCAACCTTTTTTGGGTTGCTTGTGCTTCAGTGCACTGAAGGCATCTGGCATCAAGGCAATGGGTTTGACTATGACCTGATGAAGTAATAAAGAGAGGATATACTCCCTGCCCCAAGCAACTATGAATGAGTAGCACTTACTTTGTTTGTTACCTCTCTGGGGATTGCATGTGTGCAAGGCTATGGCTATGGGCCCTGCACTCATACATATGTATTTACAATACTAAAAGTTTCAAAACTGTTCTGCTACCATGTCCAATACTACTAAGATCTGGCAAAAAATACAGCAGGGTTAAAATGGTACAGATTGAAAGTAGCAGAGCAGGATCCTGGTGGCCAGGCAGATGTCTTGTCCCTCATTAATCTGCCATTCCAGAACTTGCACATATGAGTGCAGTACCTATTGCCCATGTTGGAGTAGTAATCTGTACTAATCCTACAATTGCCATTGAGTACCCAAGGCCAGGTAGCTTAGTGGTTAGAGCACCTGGGTATATGCCAGGGGGTCCTGGGTTCAAATCCCAGCTTGGTCATATTTTCCTTTAATTGTGCACTGCTTGGCAGCAGGAGGGTAGTTGGCCCTGAGGTCACATGATTTCAAATTCAACATCTTAAGAGGAGGCTGAAATTAAGACCAAAAGAAGACTGAGGTGCATGAGGAAAAACTAACTGCCTAAGTGCGAAGAATTATTACATAAGCTTGTACACTGTAAACAAATAAACATAGGAGACACATGTTCCAACACACCCCCTCAGTGTAGCTAGTCTTTAGAGAATAATTCCCATACCAAGAGAAAAGCATTCATGCTTCTTGTGTGACAGTCCCTTGGTGAGAATGTCAGTGACCTGTTCATTTGTAGACATGTACTTGACATCCACCTCTCCACTCTCAACCTTCTTGTGGATAAAGTGATGATGAGTAGCTATGTGTTTCATGCAGTCATGGAACATTGCATTGCTCATCTGGGCTATTTCAGACTGATTGTCAACTAGAAGAGGAGTGCACTGCATGATCATGTCCATATCTAGTCCACATTGTAGGGTTCATAGCCAAAGTATTTCTTTTGCAGTTGCTGAGACTGCCATGTATTCAGCTTCCATAATAGACAGAGCAATGGAGGTCTGTTTCTTTGATGACCAGCCAACAGCTCCACTGGACAGACTAAAGACATAGCCAGTTACAGAATGGTGGTCATTTATATCTGCAGCCCAGTCAGCATCAGCATAGCCTACAAGCAAACTTTCAGGGTCTCTCATGTACTGTAAACATGTGTCAATGGTTTTTTGTAGGTATCTGTAAACTCATTTGAGTGTGGTCCAGTGTTGGTCACCAGGGGTAGCCATGTGCCTGCTAAGCACACCCACAGTGAATGTGACATCTGGCCAGGTAGCCAGCATAGCATACATTAACACTCCAAAAGCACTTTGATACACATGTAGGTCATAGGCAGGAGCATCAAGTTTTTCTAGTTTTAAGTTCTGCTTGATAGGCATAGACACTGTGCAACCATCCTGCATACCCATACACTCAAGAATGAGCTCTATATAATGAGGCTGAGATAACTCTATGGTTCCCTTGTTGCAATCTCATATAATCTCCATACCAAGGATCCACTGAGCCTTGCCTAAGTCAGAGAGGTCATACTTGGCTGATATTTGGACTTTGAGGCAGTCAATGGCCTCATGGCTCTTCAAGAGGATTAGTTTGTCATCAACATAGACAGCAACTACAATTAGAATTCCATTTCCATTTTCATCTTTGTAGAAAAGACTGTGGTCAGTGTCACTGTGTGTGAACCTCCAGTGAGAGTGTCTCTGGCCCAGCAAGGTCAATGTCATCAGCTGTGGACAAGAGTGGAGGCACCCATGTAAAGTTTGCCTCCAAGTCCCTTGCCACTTCTAAGTCAATCCCAGGTTCATTTCTTGTGTGCATGTGAGCATGCTGTCACTGTGTTGGCTTTCCAGATGCCATGTTTTGGGTATGGATGTGGTAGCAAAGGTTTGCATGAATTTTTCCAAGTGTTTCAAAAGTATTGATGGACAAGTTGCAGTGTCTTTGTGACTGTATGCTACCAAGGTCAGAAAAGAGTTGTTCAACATCCCCAGCATGTGGGAAAATTGAAAGGATTGTAATAGTGAGTGACTTGAGTGGATGTGTGTCTGAAGTGACTGGTAGGCTCTCCCACCAGCTGAGGCCATTAGCATGCCCCCCTGCGAATGGGGCATGGGATATATTGTAGTCTTGCATGTCCTTGATGAGTTTCTCTGCCTTTCCCTTGTCCCAGTTCCACAATTTTACAATTTCAAGTGCAACCTTGACCATGAACTCAATTGAGTGACCACTTGCCACTTGCCCAATGGCAAATTTATGACACATGGGGTGCAAGAACAGGGCAAGTGAGTGATGATCAGTATTGATTGCATGAAAGTGTCTGTTGAACACAGACTTTGCATGCATCCAGAATCTTGTGTTGTCTTCTTCATCCAGTTGAAGTTGTGACATCTGTTCTGCATATCAAATAAGCTCAAGCATGCAGTCAGCAAGCAAAGCCTGGTGTGATTCCAAGTTTCCAATTACATTGACAAGGGGTTTCACTGTCTTGATCAGCTGTTCAAGGTACATCCAGTAGCTCCACTTGTGCAAGACAATGTCAATGACATCAGAGGCCACAGGGCTCTGATTATTGATTTTCCTCTGTGCATTTGGATGGATGCAAATCTGGAATAGAGGGTTTCTGTAACCAGTCAGTCAGGCCCATTGCACACATCGAAGATTCGAGATTGACCCACTTGTGTGCCTTCACACTCAAGCAGTGCAAGATCAGTGCATAACAACATGATTCACAGTTTTGCTTCAATCTCTGCCTGACACCCAACCCCTTGGTTTCTTCATTGAGCTGCCCACCCCAATAGTGAGATGAGTTGAAGAATGTCACAATATGAGTGGTCTTTCTGATCACTTTCTTCATCAGAGGACAGGTGATGATATCACCAATCAGTGTGTTGGGACTGTGCAAGAAGCATGCAAAAGTCTATATAGTTCACCAGAGGATGTAATCTGAGACTTATGCAGGGTACTCATGAGAACCTATGGATATACTGTATTTCCTGGAATTTCTGGCAGAATGCTTGCATTACTGTTGGGTTATCAGTTGTGACAGCAATGAGGTTCTTCCCATCATCGATCTCCAACTTCTCCATGGCCTTCTGTGAGACTGCAAGGAGATTGCCAGCTGTTCCTCAGCAACTTGTCATGTCCTCCAGTGCAAGAACAATTGGATGGTGATTGACTTCCACTGCAACTGAGCCATAGAGACTCTGCTTCAGCTGATCCTCCCACCCATCCAAGAGTAGTGTAAGCTTCTTTCGAGGCTTTAGCCTGAGTAGGTCTTCCTCCTGTACTTGAACAGCTTCACTATCAAGAAGATTGTGGGACAATACATATCAGGATGGTGACTCATATGGGGGGCATATAGCATCCAAGAAATAATGGAAGAAATTGTCATCTGCAGCCATGGAGGGTATATTGGCATGAATAAACCACCTGGATGTCACCACTAAGTGTGTTGGAAGCCCAGGATGTGAGTAGACATACTGAAGGAGCCTGGTATTTGCATCTTCAATTTGCTTTGTCATTAGGGGGTAATCAACATAGTCATCAAGTGCCTCCTTGTGCTTCCTGATGGGGGTAATCTTGAGATCTGAGGCTGAAGATTCACCAATGGTGGCCTGAGAGTGGGTGGATATGGACTGAGTTTTCCCTTGAATAAAGGTATGTGCTTCTTGGAAAATCACTGGTGGGGCCACCTTGCAGCAAGAAACAATGTGCATGGGGAGATTATTGTCCCAGCCTTGAATGCATGCACCTTCAGAACCTTCATCATCACCACAGTGATTGCACTTCCAAAAGTAATGGCCAGATTTATTCTGGACTTTATCAATGCATGTAAAGTTAGCTTCAGAGAAGCCTGCAATGGGGTGCCCACCAGTGCTTGCCATCATCAATTGTCAACTCATTAACCAAGCAGTAGCCTACTACCACATAAGCTGTTTTTTAATAAAGTAAAACAAAATTTTATTTAAGTGGTGTGCCAGGTTCTGCCAGCTCCAATCTCAGAGGTTCTGCCAACCACACTAGCCTCACTGTTGCCACACCCTCTCATGTGCTTGCCTCTGTCTCACCACCCTCACCCTCTATCTCTGCATCACAGTTGGTAGGCTTTGTTTTTGATATGCATTGACAAAATAGCATTGCTTGTCATCTCAAACAGGCACTTTCCTGGCTTGGGATGACCTTCAAAGTGCCAGAGGAGGGATATGGATTGGATAAGGACCAGGAGGCCCAGGTGTCGAGCCAGAGCAATGAATGGCCACAGATGGTGCTTGTTGTTGACTTCCTGAGGTCTGTTCTTCTTCATTCTGTTCATGGTTTGACCTACTAATGTTTTTCTCTGCTTTAATATGAGTGTTTGGCTCGAACATCAAGCAGCTGTGATCATCAGGGATCTGCAAGCCATCATCAGCTGCCATCTCATTGTTTTGACTGCCCCAGGTGTGTCCTTCACCATCTCCACCATCTGACTCATTTCCAGGTTCATCCAAGCTTGTTTTGCTCTCTGGTAAGGCAACCTCCCTTTGAATCCCTTGTGCATGAGCTGCAGGCATTACATGCCTTGTTTCCCTAGTTACCATGTCTATCTGGACTCAAGACATGTCCATGCTATCCCCTTCATTGAAGACAGCATCATTTATTTCAACAATATGCCTGGTGGACCAATGTATGCACAGGGATGCCTTTTTATTCTTTGAGTATCCCAAGAGCGCACACTCAAGGGACTTAACATCTAGCTTTTGATACTTTTCCTCTAGAACATGGACATGCACCATGCATCCAAAAATTTGAAGATGGGTGACTGATGGCTTGTTCCTGGTGTATGCCTCATAGGGGGTAATGCTTTGCTTGAGTGCTTTAGTCAGTAGTCTATTTATTATGTGTGCTGCATGCAGTATGGCATCCCCCCAATATTTGTTGGGTTGACTGGCATTGCTGAGCATAGCACACATGGACTCAACAAGTGCTTGGTTCTTTCATTCCACTATGCCATTTTCCAGTGGTGTGTAGGCATTTGTAGTCTCCACTTCAGCTCTAGCAAAATATTCCTTGGTTAGTCCAAAGACTTTGTCCTTCATCTTGATTAACCTAACCACCAGATGGTGTGAGTGTCTGTCAATGAATGTTATGAAGTACCAATGGCCAGATTGTCCTGTAGTTTCCATAGGTCTGCACATGTCCATGTAGGTTCTGTGCAGTACACTTGGATTTTCTATACCTGACTTCAACCAAATAGGTTCCCAATGTTGTTTGCCATTGTGGCAGGCCTTGCACAAAGTTGTGTTGTGCTCCTTTAGTCCTGTCAGCTCCACCATGCCATTCTCAGATAGTCTTAGGACATTTCTGATGTTCGAATGTCTGAGTTGATGATGCCAGATGGTTAATGTAGCCTTAGATGTTGTCATACACAAGGTGAGAGTGGTGAAAGGTTCATTTGGGTTGAGCACATCAGGAGTACTGACAATGTATGCAGAATGACTGCCAGATATGATGCTTGCTTTGAGTATGTACAGGGATGTTTGTTTAGTAGCCAGAGCTACAACCTTGCCATCAATGTGCACCCTACACTCCTGCTATCCAAAGGTGACTAGAAGTCCCTTTGAGGCTAGTGCAGGCACCAATGCAAAGTTTGTGTCCAGGTCCAGAACATAGTAGACATCTCAGAGGATAGTCCCACTCATGCAGCCATCCTCAAGGTGCATGGAGACTTTGATTCTCCCTTTCCTGATAGCTTGTATGGTTCTACCATCACCAACAATCACTGGCTGCAAGGGCAATATTTTTCTGAATGTTGCAAACCACAAGCATTGGCAGCACATGTGTGCTGAGGCACTGGAGTCAACTACCCACTCCAATGCACTGGTCTTAGGGCATGCACATGCTATGAACAGATGAAGAGGTCCATTATCCTCTTCTGCAACTGTCACAACCTTGGCTGTGAACTCTGTTCTCTCCTTGGGTTTATCCTTGCTCCCTTGTGCAGATCCCTGTGGCTGCTTCATCTGCCTTCTTTTTGTAGCATTCATCCTCCACATGTCCAGTTTTGCCACAGAGGGCATAGTTACACTTCTTCTTCTTTTTCTTCTTGTCTGTTGCCTTTGACTTTTTACATGGGTTAGTCTTAGCAGTGAGAGCAGAATGCACTGTCAAAGTTTGTCATGTTCTTTCTTCTACCAGGACTTAGGATATGACAGTCTCAATGGTGAGCTTGTCATTCATGGACATAAGGATTGTCTGGAGTGTAGAGTATGACTGTGGGAGAGAGATTACCATTGCAATTGCTACCAGCAAGTCATCAAGGGGTTGGCTGAGCAATGAGAGGATATGGACTTTTTGCTGCATGGCATTTAGCTGTGTTTCCATAGGCTGGTCATCAGCAAGCATGCCACAGAACAGTTCTCCTATAGGATAGGCTATGGATTGCTTTCCCTTTCCTTCATACTGTTTGCTAAGCTTGGTCCAGGTCTCCACTACAGTACTTGCATACAGAACACTGCTAAGAGGCTCATCTTGAGTGTTAGGGTAATCTGTGCACATGCTTCTTTGTCTTTGATTAGCCATTCCTCATATTGGTCTGGGTTCATGTTCGCATCTGGAGCCTTCTTCTCCATGCCAGCAACTAGGTTCCAGAGGCCTTGTATACCTAGGACTTTCTGCATTTGAAACTTCCACATTTGATAATTAGCTCCATCATCTGTGAGGGGCATTATATCATAGAGTTGGCTCAAGCCTTGGGTGACCCTAGCACTAGTAGATGCAAACACTGATGTGTTTGTGCCTGTCAATGGGCCCAGTTGCTGGGACATTGACACTGACACTCCAGATGACATGTTTATAGGTTATTTGGTGGTACCACTCACATAATGTACCTACCTTGTACCATATCATGACCAAATGCGGTTGACAATTGGCCATGTTGCATGGACTGGCTAAGGTTGAACCCACCTCTGAGTTGTCATTGTGTCACACAGCATAGCCATGATCATTGGGTGTCACCATACTGCACAGTGTGGCTGAGGGGTTACTGTACTATATACACCTGTGGGGCAGACTGCACCACTGGCATTTGCCTGGCATAAACTGGGCATGCTTGCCAGCCCACTGGCATTGGTGTGCCTGCTATGTGTTCCAGCCAAACAGCATTATCCTGGTATTGACCTTGCATTCCTGTTGAGATCTATCCCAACCCACTGGCATAAGCACAGAATCTGTGCCAGTCATCTAGCATAATCCTGGCATGGGTTCCAGCCAGTTGGGATAGGCCTTGAACTAACCTGGTCTGCCTGCTGGCTCACCAGCATGAGCCTGGCATGTGTTGGCCATTGCCAGTGGGTCAGAAGGCATTCCATTGTAATTCTATTGGGCTGGTTTGAATGCCAGGCTAATTCCAGTAAGATGGGATAAATGCCAGGAAACATACCATTCTTATGCTAGTGGGCCAGCACAGATGCCAAGGTGGTGATGGTTGGTTGGCAGGGATGCTAAGCTAATTCCAAAGCTAATTCCAGTTGGCTGGTATGGATCACAGCCACCACACTATTTCTAGTGGATCAGAAGGCATGCAAGTGGGATTCTATTGTGTTCCTTTTGTGGGGTTGTTTCTGAGTAGGGACAGACTAACAAAAGGAAGATACTCAGGCTTCTATTGGGAGAAGACTGAAGTGCATGAAGGAAAAATAATGTGCCAAAATGACTGTGCTTATGTAAGATATTACTTGTGGAAGAAACATAATTAATGTGCATCAACAGTTCCACCCAATGTCAGTAAGCTGGGACAACTGCTGGGCAGGTGCCAGTGCACTGGGACACATACTAGCATTATGCTAGTGTGCCAGGATACATACTGACACTATGCTAGTGCACTGGTACAGATGCTAAGCTTGTGGTGGTGTGTTGGCATGGATGCTCAGCTAATGCCAGTTTTCCTGGGTGGATCCCAGAATCCAAGCTATTTCCAGTGGGTTGGAAGGCATACCAGTGTAAATCCATTGGGCCAGTATGAGTTTCAGCCACTTCCAGTATGCTGGGACAAATGCTAGGCTAATGACAGTGATCCAGGACACAGACCAGCCTTATGCTAGTGGGCCATGAATGGATGCCAGGCTTATGGTGGTTGGTTTGCATACATGCCTAGCTACATTCCAGGCCAATATCAGTAAGCCAGGACACATACCAGTATTATGTGAGTAGGCCAGAATAGAAGCCAAGCTGGCAGTGGTTGGTGGGCATGGATGCTCAGCTAATTCCATGAGGGCTGGATGGATCACAGCCTCCAGGCTATTTCCACTGGTTCAGAAGGCACACCAGTGGGATTCTATTGTGCCAGTATGAATTCTGGCCAATTCCAGTCAGCTGGGTCAGATTCCTGGTTAATGCCAGTGAACCAGGACATTGTAGAATATATACTACAGGACTATTAGCAGAGTGTAAAGACAGAATGTGGAAAGTGCTCACCTCAGTTGGGTTAAGAAGCCAACTGAGGTGTGACTATGCTACTTGAGTGCAAAAATGAATGTGATTATGTAATATGGCTAAATGCATACCATAATACTAAGTGGATGAAAGCATAATGTGAAAGGCAGAATATACAACACTCCCCCTCAAACATCACAGAGTCCAAGCTCATAAGCAAAGTGCTTGGCTTTGATGTTTGGAAGAGCCTTGGTAAGGGTATCTGCAACCATCCTGCCAGTAGGACAGTAGATGAGGCAAAGTGAGCCATTATCAATAGCATAGCATATAAAATGATAATGAATGTCTATATGTTTTGTATGGGCATGGTAATTGCTGTGGTGAGCAAGCATGATTGCAGACTGATTGTCACAATGGATTATGGTTGGGAGCAAGAGTGGGTGGAAAAGTTCTTGGATAAGGTGATGAAGCCAGA